GGCCTGGTGCACTGGGAAGACCCAGAGGGATGGGGTGGAGAGGGAGGTGGGAGGGGGGATCGGGATGGGGAATACATGTAAATCCATGGCTGATTCATGTCAATGTATGACAAAAACCACTACAATATTGTAAAGTAATTAGCCTCCAACTAATAAAAATAAATGGAAGGAAAAAAAAAAGAATACCCAGGCCAGAAACCTGAACATTTGATCAAAAGGCCATATTAGTGAAGGACAAAAATATGAGCCATATCTATATATGTGTGTGTATATATATATATATTGTTGTTAACAAATTTACTAATCACCATGGGATCTGAAGTCTGTCGAGTTTCCCCTAGCCTCTAGCTGGTAAATGAACCATAGAGAAAGCAATGTGTTTTTCATCCCTTCCTCCCCTTCCTTCCTTGCTTTTGATGAAAAACTGTAGGGATTCTTATGGCCAGGAAAACTGAGGGAGATAATCCTATGAGAGAAAACCAACTGAAATTGAATTCATTTATTGGCAGAAATAAGCACAAAGACACTCCCAAATAAATTTTAACTTCTGAATATGTTTGCTTACAAAAACAAGCAAAGACTCAGGAAGGCCAAAGCTCTGGAGTCAAGAAGCTCATTGGTCTCTCCTCCCAGGAGTCCCCAGTTCCCAGCCCCCAGGCCCCACTCCAGGCTTCCAGGCAGAAAGGACCCTCACCCACAGTGTCATCTGGGTCTCTGCAGGCATTAGCAGGATTAACCAGCTCGGCTGGAGGAGTCAGAGAGAGGATCTAGTCACAAAGGACCTACTGGGTGCTCAGCACAGTACCAAGTGGCTTCACAGCCTTTATCCCTTTCAATATTCATCACATCTTTGGGAGGTTTTTTTTTTTTTTTCCTTTTTCACTTTAAGCAAAGCCTTGATTTTCAAGGCAAAACTACATTTTTTTTTTTCACTTCTGTTCTTGGCATAAATTTTAACTATTTCCAGTAGAACCAAAACCTCCTGAACCCCTTTCACTGTCATCTAAAGCTTGAACTTCCTCAATTTCTGGTTAAAATATCCATTCACAAATAAGTTGTGCAATTCAATCACCCTTTTTGACTTCAAACTTTTCTTTGCCAAAACTAAACAGAACAACACTAACATCTCTATAATCTTCATCTATGACACTTCATCTATGACACTCCTACTTCTTATGAAATGTTTTGCCAAGTCAGAATGTGGAGCTTCTCTCCCATAGCACCCAGAAAGGAGAGCTATCTGAATGTTGGTTTTCAGAAGGACTTGTTCCATCGGTGGTATTGTGTAATCACGGACCCTGTACAGGTCATAGGCCGAGGCACACACGGACCCCATGGTTGGGGCAGTGGTGTGCTCCCAGAGCTGGAGAAAGCAGAGCCTCATGCCTTCCTCCTCCATAACCAGGGGTCACCCGCTGGGGGAGATGACTTGAGTCTCTTGAGAGCTGGGCAAGGGGGGCAGAACATGAGCACGAGAGGGAGCAGGGGAAACAACAGTCTTTGGGAGGTATTTTTAAACCCTCTTTCAAAACTGATGACAGAGGCTGAAAAAGTATTCCATCACTCAAATGAGTTCTGAAACCTCATCTCAACTATATCCCTTCATCCCTTAAAAGTGAAAGGGAAGACTGAAAAGTCAAGTGTTTGCCGTGAAATGACATTGCTGATTAGAAGGAGAGCTGACCACATTATTCTAACAGCTCGGGTCCCTTTCTTACTCTAGACAAAGGAAGGCAGGGGAGCTCTGAAAACTCAGTGTTGGTGGTGAATTTGGGGTCCTTGACACAGTTGTGGAGCATAAATGTAGCTTCAGCTGAGTCTTTATTCAATTACGTTAACAAATCAATTATTTCAATAAATATTTGGGGGCACCTATAGTGAGCTATTCACTATGCAGGCCCTGGGAATATCTCAGTTCTGGGGATAATCAAGTCTCTGCTCTCATGGAGTAGATGCAGATTAAAAACAAACAAACAAACAGGTAAACAACCAGGATAATTACAGACTCAACTATGTGCTATGACAAGAATGATAAGAGTGTCAGAGTATTCAGGGTGGTTTTCCTGAACAAAGCCACCTTCAGGCTGAAACTCAAGAATAAGCGGGAGCTAGCCATGGTGATACCTTGGTCTGGGTGCCCTCAGGATGAGACCCTGAGATGGATTCGAGTGCAAGTAGCTGCCTAGGAAGATGATCCCAGTTAACATTGGTGGAGAGTGAGACAGGGATGGGCAGGAAGCCAAGAAAGCATACGACATCAAACAAGTTATTCTGTGGGCAGCAAAAGCTCAGTCCCACTGGGGAACTCTGGGAGACAGTGTAAAATACACAACTGAGACCTATCCCACCTAAGGGACAAGGAAGCTGGGGTATTTATACACCACCCCCCGGAAATCACTGGCCGAGGGCTACTCCAGAGAACAGGGTAAGCATTCACCCCCTATGTGCCCAGTCTGTCCTGAGCACAGACAGAGAGGGTTCTGGCAGCCAGCAGAAGTCTCAGAGAGAGAAGCAGGTGTTGGTAGTTGGAAATCAATGTGCAGGACATAGTAAGTGCTAAAGAAATATGAGTGGGTTCTGATAGCATTTGAGAGCTGTGGGAGAAGGGTAAGTTCAAAGCCAAGGAAGAAACAAACAAGAATGTCTCATGTTGAGGGGGCTGTCAAGAGCTGGGCTCTTAAATCAAGAGTCTGGGTTAAAGTCAAATGATTTGGGTACAAATGCCAGTTTTGGGACACATTGGCTGTGTGACATTGGGAAAAATGATTATCTTCTCTCAGCCTCAGTTTCCTCATCTGGATAAGAAAACTAATGAGTTCTGACCTCACAGGTATGCTGTGAAGATTCAATGGGAGAAGTCCTTTACAGTCACTAACACAATCCCTGACATGCTTGACATGATTGATAAATGATATCCTTTCACATTATCATCAAAAGGATGGAGTTCCTGGAATGTAGGAAGTAGGGGTTTGGGGGAGGGGAGCAGGACATGAGGGGAAGAGGCAACAGGGGTCAGATCATGCAAGGTCTGAAGACTCTGGATTATCCCTGAGATGTGCTGGAAGTCACTGAAGAGTTTGAAGCTATATAGTCACCTGATATCATCATTCTAGAATGTCCTACTTGTCAAAGGACCTCCCTGGTGGCTCAGTGGTAAAGAATCTGCCTGCCAAGCAGGAGACAAGGATTCGATCCCTGAGTCGGAAAGATTAACTAAAGAAGGAAATGGCAACCCACTCCATATTCTTGCCTGGGAAATCCCATGGACAGGGGAGCCTGGTGGACTACAGTCCATGGAGTTGCAAAGAGCTGGACACAACTTAGCGACTAAACAACAACTCTTTAAAGGCTTGAAATGCTTTTTATACTTCTGTATCCCATTGCTAACTCTACTGCTCACATAAAAGGAAGGTGCTATTTAGCAGTAATTAGCAGACTCCAGAGGCAGAGGGGTGGAAAGAAGCATTGGCTTGAAGCACCTAACAACTGCACACACTTGGCTGTGGAATGATCTGCTTCCTTTGCCTTCAGCAGACTTAACTTCCTAATTAAGTTGGCTCCAGCCAACATTCAAATGACTTTGCATTTTCCAAGTAGATGCCAAAAGAGGCCAGAGAGACAGCCCCCAGAGCCAGTGGGAGAAATAAGGAAGCAGGTCTGGAATGAAATACATGCTGTGGAGACCCTCATGGGAATAACTTATGTACATACATGAGTTCTAT